AATAAAAAAATATCTTATGAAATTGTTTTCTTGATTTTTGATGTGATTGACAGAATCTGGATGTCATTTACATATTAGAAATCACCCAGTTAACTAACTCTATAAGGCCGACGCCAAAAAGTGAAACGGATCGGAATACGAAGTGAAAATAAAACGGAATTTTACTTCCGTTTCGTGTTCTTTTCTGTTTCTCCTCGTTTTTCATAAACGCTTGCAAGTATGAAAACATATTTAATAACAATGGCTCAAAATATTGAGGCACTCCTTGAAGCATAAACGAAGAGATCTACATTACAAAACCTCGGGGCAAACTTTTAAAAGCTTATATAAAATGGAAATGACTCATGCGGCAAAGTAACGGCACATGTGAAATTCATCGGCTTTTTTTCAAAGAACAGGTATCAGCCTAGCGATCGGTCAGAGTTTTGTTATACCTCAACTCAATCAAATGGCACCCTCGAGTTTGATACTCAAGGGGTTACGCTCACTTGCGCTCTCGGCTAACCGTGTGCCTTTGGTTTCGTCAGGACAAATACCAGGAGTGTCGGTAACGAGGGTGTTTAAGAGACCTCGATTCTACCATCGTCACTTTCCCCTTCTGTCCCTCCGTAGTTGTACCGTTTACTGTTGATTATTACATGCACTTGCTAGAGACAATTTTATTAGTTTTCTAGTCAATAGGGCAATTGCTCGGACTCGTTAAGGCCAGATAGTTTGACCATTGTCCAACATTTAGAAATCCAGCCGCGCATGTGTGCCATATATGTCGCTTTTCAATAAATAAACATTCACATACATTCTGAACCATATAATTATCTTTACACCCATAATACAACAGGTATCTACAATCTTATGTAGTAATATACATTTTCCCATATTGATGATTCCATGCGGGTAGGCATTTTTCATGTACATAGGCAAGTTGGAATGGATATTAACAGCAGGAAAGGAATGTCTACGAGAAAGTGAACTGTCACCCTCTTTATTATAATTCGATCTCATTAAATTCATTCCCAAAATGTATGTCACGTGATAGGTACTGTAAACACTGGTTTAATATCAAAGAGGAGTTTGATAAGTTGGTAACGTTGTGTCTGATTCGTTTGCAAAATTAAGTTTTGCAATCAAATATATACAGTAAAATAGCCCTGATTTGTGATTGACGCATGTCAGTATAATCTCGCACTTTAACCCGAAAATGTACGACCACAGAGAATCTTAGGTAAACATCGGTTTTGCTGTTGGACAAATTTATGATGATGATGATGAATGACCTTGACACATGCTTGACCACTGGTCAGCAGCCATACCACGATTTGATGCATCCTATTCTCGCCAATCAATAACTATGTTCCATGTACTCCTGTTTGAATAGATCTTCTCCAAAGTGATTCTTCAACAATGGCGATTATATTGTACTTGTGCACAACCAACGCCTTCGTGATTCTGATAAAGCGTTTCCTCGACACAGATGTTATTTACGAGGACGGTTATAACCATGTAGCGTCATTGGTGTAAGTGCACTTTTTCTGCCATGGAGCCGTGAATAATTTAAACCGAACGTTTCACAAGATATTTTTGTTCCCTAACCCTTCTTGTTTTTGCTTTAGAACGAATTTGTTTCTAACCGGAAGCGTGTTGGCAGTTGCCTTTGTCACAAGCACGTGTTGATATTTGCGCCAGGCCATGTCTATTTCCGGTTCTCACTAAGGAACGTGCCGCTTACATGATACCGACATTCTTTCACACTTCGAAACCGTTACCCGGATTATAGAAAAAAAAAATCAAACACATCCTCGGCTAATTTCATATAAGGTTAAATTTAGATAGAACGTGCTGCGTTTCAATAACGGTACTATAATTGGGTCAAGGTTTTTTTTATTTATTAAGTTCTCTATTCTAAAGATGGAATTACTGTTGTAAATTTTTCGAAGAAAACACAATTGTGCGGAATTCGTTTTGTGCCAGGTGATCGCAAAATAACAAAAATGAATTAAAATGCATTGCTACAATTAAAGTACATTTGGAATTTTAAACTAAAGAAATAATTTCCCTGATACTTGTTTATTTTGCTAACCTAACGTTGCTTTATATAAGCAACTGAAGATCGCATGCTCTTTATGCACTCGTGAAATTGTCCTTAAAAACCACGCGAAGCAAAGCTTCCCTATTACAACAGCCCTAAAGATTTATGAACAGGAAGTACAATTTTGATAAGCTTTTGGGGATGATGAATGTATTTTAATTGCTTTTTGAAAAAAAAGAATTCCAAAATTGAACGCATTTTAAGTTCACTCATCACTTATGTAATGCAATTATAGACCAATCAGCACAGACATCTGTAATAATTTCTTGCTCTTGACAGCTGCGTTAACAAAACCGTTTGACATACGTCATATTTTTTTTATCCCGGATTTCGTTCTGAAAGACCAAGTTGATAAAATGCCACCGAGCCAAAAACACATGAAACTGGAAGGATTTCATCATGTTAATATTTTTAAGTTCCTACGTATGAAATTATCTTCAATTTGAAATCGATCTATGACTGTAAATGTAAAAGTACGGCGATATCTCAACATAAAGTGCACTTTTCATCATATGGACTTTACCAGCCTTACTTGGATAGTAGACTTGCCTAACTTAGGTTTGAGTTTAGTATTCTGCCTAACTTTGACCTGACAATCGTCTTCCATCCTCCCAGATTTTACTTGCTGCTCTTGATCTGCCTAACTTTGACCTGACAATCGTCTTCCATCCTCCCAGATTTTACTTCCTGCTCTTGATCTGCCTTACTTTGACCTGACAATCGTCTTCCATCCTCTCAGAGTTTACTTCCTGATTATGATCTGCCTCACTTTGTATGCCGATCTAGCATATAGTTTGAATGGAGTCTGAATGTACGAAAGCTAAAAATAACATTAAGTCGTCGTAAAAATGTGGCACGAATAAGCTTTCTCATGAATGTGTCTGAATTCCTACATCCTATTTTAACTTTTGTCGTAGTCTGAATATGCTGCAGATAGACACATTTTCCGATCTGCATGACGTAATTGCGAATGTGACTTGTTTGTACCAACAATATTTACCAATATTTACCTATTCTTGTTTCTAATTTTCGGTACAAGTATTTTAGATATATCTGTCTTCCGTTCTACATACGAAATCAATAGACTAGACTATTTAATTTACTCAATAATATATTGACGAAATGTCAGATTAGTTTTAAATAGGTCTAAGTTATTACTAGGATAAAAGGAATGGATAATTAAACAAGAAATGTCCTGTCGTCGATTCCGGACAGATATGGACATTGATTAATTAACTATTTCAAATCATTCCCTTTGAAACTTGATCGCATTTCTATGACAATTAGGAAAGATTAATTGGCCGTCATTCGAACTAATTTATTCGTTGAGTCGTATTTCCGTTCGATTTAAACTAATTGGACCAAACGTCAATAGCACAAAGCTTCAAACACGAAATCCTTTCAATAAATCTTTCAGAAGAATTGGTCGATAATTACCTTATGACCGCAATAGTATGTTTAATTGTGACAAAAAAAGGAAAATATGGCCATGGTCGTTTTTAGGTGTTCACCATATGACTCACTGTACATCTAATGCATTATGTACATGTATATAATATACTAATACATTCAAGCAACTAACATCCAATGCACATTTCGGTTTTTTTATTTTGTGATAAATTGAGAAGGAAACACCCATTGGTAATATTTGCTTGAAGAAATTCGTTTTAACAATGTCACTATATTTGATCGTATGTCATTTTGTTCACACACGTAAAAATGTCAACAACGAGGTTTTTCCCCGTCAGTTTTACGGTAAACATCGCCGGCGGTATAACAATAGTTGGTGTATATTTATACAGAAATACTGCATGCTACGAATTTGAAATCGCGAAACAAAATTCGCAAAAATATAACATATTGGGATTGAATGGAGAGTTGAAACAGTCATACTGGTATGAACGGAAATTGGTCGTAACCATACTGCGTTAAGCCCGCATGGCATGGGTGTTAAAAATTCTGGATTTATAGTTATTAGGGAGCTAAATATATAATAATTCAGTAATATTTGTGGTATGGGTCATTCTGGAACAGTCCTAAACGTCATTAAAACGTTTGCTCACTACGATGGAATCACCTTAGACTAGAAGGAAGAAAAAGAGACAACATGACACGGATCAAATTGCATTCGTACCCCTCCGGTAGTGTTTTGAAGGGTCGTTCAGGGGAAAATATGCCTAAAAAAGTACCAAAAAGGGGACGGGAGGGGTCACGGCGGAGGTTATTTAGTATTCAATTGGACAATATTAGACAGACAAAGGGAGGTTATGAAGAAGTCATCGAAGAGAGGGGGAGGGGGGGGGTTAAAACTTTTTTTTACACATCTGATTAAATCAAGTTGTTAATTGGGGTAATTGTACCTTCAGAGATACTGTTATAATCCGACTCTTTTTATTTTATTTTGTTTCTTCGTTCTACAGTCTAGTTGTATACTCTAATATATTGTTATTTTCGTGTCCGTGATTTTTTCGCGGTAAGATGAAAATTTCGTGAACACAATCTAACTCGAATTTAAATGTACCTCCACAAAAACCCGAAAACAGCTTTGCACGATAACAGGTATATATATATATATATATATATATATATGGACCTTCAATGAATCTTTCTCAGACTTACATTCATTGTTTAAGTAATTCAGTAAGTTATTGGAATTCGCATATATTTTAAAATTAATTTTGAGAAACAGAAACATTTGAGAAATATTCAAGAGACTTGATGAGACAGATATGGTCTCCAATGACTATATTTTTATATTTTGGATGTGTTGCATTCTTTCATGAGTTATAGGTTAGTTAGTTTAAACACAAATCCGTGCTTAAGCATGTGAATGGTTTCGTGGATAAGGGCCCGTGTGATGAGCGTATTCCTGTGTCTTTGAAAATATTTATAAAAAAAATATTCAAACACTCACCCCACTGAATCTTGAATCTTGAATCTGTTTCTTTTTCTCCATGATTACTCACCGAATACTATTCCTGAAAAACGAAAAAAAAATATTATCATCTCGTATGACTAGTACTGTCCACATTGTAATGGCTATATCGAAATAATACATTATACGATATATCTATTTCACTGGTTGTGCTTTATGGCCCTGTTTACGATTATGAAGAAAGGATCTCGAAATATTTTAAAATCTATCAGACGAAAAGAAATCATTTTGATTTTAAAAAGTAAATTTTATTTATAAATTTTACATCGGAATGACGTCACAAGAAAAGACAATGAGAGAACTTAAGGTCGCTGCAATGTTGACGTCAATTTAAATCATTTCGATGAATTCTTATTTTCCAATCAAAGTAATTTATCAGCGTTTAATGACGTTCGTTTATGTTATATGAAGTTTATACTTTAATTAGACATGTTTCAGCACCCGGAAGTTTCGATACCTAAAAATTGGATGTAACGGTACGCTTTTGTAAAGAAGAAAACTGTTGTCGAATCTTACAGTTTCAAGACAGCAGCACACAGGACACGAAAAGTACAAAGTTGAAACGTAAGTGCATGAAAGCCATATGAATTGTAAAGTATCGAAACGACCAAAGCCGGAAGTTCGGATTTTTGCCCCAGTTTATAAACTGTGACACCGAAATCTCGACAATGCAAACTCGCTTATTCCGGAGAATTAAAAAAAGAAACTAAGATGAAATTTTCATTGACGTCTCCTGTTACAATAATCCGGAAAATAATCGTTATTCCGGAATTTTATTTCAGAATTGCCAAAGATACCGATAACCAATACAATGTATGTATATATAGAGAGAGAGGGAATATGTCAAGAGGTTCCGTTTCATCAAAAATAATGAAATGAACTGAAAACATCGATAAGCAGATTAATATAATTATGTCAATTCAATGACGAATTCGTGAACTCGAAAGCATGATGGTAAAAAGTGTCTTCTAAACGATTAATAGGTCAAAACGAATAATAGGTCAAAACGATTAATAGGTCAAAACGAAAATGCATCGTTCCCGTGTTACATTGCAGTTTGCCTGATCAAGCGATGAAATAAATTTGGCTCAGTTATAAGAATTGTGGATACGTGAACATATTTGTAAACCACTCATTCTGAATATGCAAATCATTAGATCAAAGTAAGAATGGCGATGATAAATCTTGAATTCAAGAAATATCTCATAAATCTTAAAACCATAAAGATGACCACATTGAAGTATCACCGCATGGTGCGAAAGTTTTGCGTACAATTTCAGATTTTAAAACCGTCCCTTATCTGTTCAGTTCTCAAACAGAAGTATATCATGAACTATGAACTGTATTGAATACGTACACATACACTGAAGCAATATGTCACTTCCGGTTTGTTTTTTTTGTCTCCTGGTTTTGTCGGGTCTTAGATACACTTGTCACATGATACCATGATTTAGGACGATATGTGCAGATCTACTTCCGGTAAACACTGAAAACACTGATTTAGGAATTATGTGCAGATCTACTCCCGGTAAACACTGATAACACTGATTTAGGAGTGTATGTGCAGATTTACTTCCGGTAAACACTGAAAACACTGATTTAGGAGTGTATGTGCAGATCTACTTCCGGTAACACTGATAACATGAAAACTGTCACGACAATATACCTTAACAAAGATGTGCGACTCCTGGTTGAATTTATCGGGAAGAGGAAGGAAGCACAGTGTACGTCGGTATCCCTTCATAAAGGATGTGAGATATAGTATCATCCACTTCCGTCTAAAAATCACCAAAGTATCACTCCGACTAAGTTAATTGCATAGTAATTTACATTTCACACCGGAAGTTGGTCAGTTGGTGATATATTCTACGTTGACTTTCACTGACGTTGTCGATGCTCAGTCCACGCGATGGGGTCTATGTAAGGGGCCTTTACCGCCCTTTTTTAGTGACACAAGGTACTGGTCCTTCTACCATGCTAGCAGGTTTGTCCCAAAGCCGGACAATTCACTTTGGTCTGAGGGCGTGGTCGCCGGCAAAGTTCAACAGATCCATGTCTTTCCATGTTCCATCTCGCACCCCTTTGCACCCACCGGAAGAATGAATCCTCCTCATGTACATGTACCGTGTGACCGCTAAATCACGTAATTTTTGTTCCAGAAAACGGTATATCGGAAGCAACGTATTTGATAGAAACGAAAAGGCAGCAAGAAAGCGTCAAATTTCACTGGCGCAGTTTAATCATCTGTTACAACAATTTAACATGACTACATCATGCACGTCTTGGAAAAATTAAATTACAAGTTATGTCATCGTTAATGGATCCTGGATAAGGTCAAGCATTGAACGGTTCTGTATAGTTATGAGTTTATGATGACACCATCGACCGTTAGAAGGATATATAGTCCGTTGTTATTGGACAACGAAGCTATCGGCGATATTTCAATTGATGTCCTTAAAACGAATTAACGGGACTAAGTGAAGAGCAATATTCGATAGTGAAACCGGAAGTGGCGTATAGACGTACACTATTATATACGAAAATAGGTTTTCAACTGTATAACTATTTGTACTGCTCTTTGAATATGTTGTTCATGTATTAATAAATCAATATTTCCCGGAAACTGTTTAAAACCTTAAAACACATTTTAGTAAAACGTACCATACGAAATATTTGTTTAAGTCATTTTCTGTCGAAGCATACCATTTAAAACCCACCATGGTCCGTATTCATGAAACCGTTCTCATGCTCAAGCATGGATTTTGTGCTCATGCCTATTTTTTTGTTTTGTTTATAAATTTAACAATAAAATCATATTTTGTCAAGGATTTTGAAAAAGAATGAAGAGACTTAAAGCGAAATACTGTTTTCAATGTTTACATTTCACGTTTTGATCGTTTGACATGATTTAAGTGAGTTACAAGAAATTTGGTATGAGCACAAATCCGTACTTGAGCATGAGAACATTTTCGTGAATACGGACCCTGGTGATGCATTTCATAAAAAAAAATCCAGCTGTTTGAAATTTGAGTGTTTCTTTAGGGGGTGGGGCAAACAAATGTCAGGGGTCAATTGCACTCAATCCTACCGTGACCCTCCAGTTTTAGCCAAGGGGTTGTGTACAGTATACATTGAAAGTAATTTATATGCAAATTGTAAATGTTATTCTGTTGTTTCAACTTCTATATAGAAGAGAGAATACTTCAAGTAAAACACAAAAAAAACAAATAGGAACAATACCAGATCTTAGTTTGAAGTTTTCGCGATTTTACCAATTCAGTAGTTTAGTGTACCTTGCGTTCAATCATATAGAATTAAATCAATGTGCTCGAAGAGTACGTCCTCTTTAGTTTGGAAACATCGATATTACAACTGCTGTGCTATTCCGGATAGCCGATTCGTTTATCATACTAATTCATAGTCTCGTTCAATCAGACTCTTGTTGTCTGCGCAAGCTACGAATAACAAGTCATCAAGCGTCTGGTTGAGCGAGATTAACTGATTGATTGTCATTTGGAAGTCATATTACCAGCAATAGCTCGGAAGTTATCGGGTGTTGACATGTCTTCTACAATCGGTGCAACGGAAATGATGAGGTCACGTGCCTTATTCAACCAGTGGTTTATGAACGTTTCGGTCGTTAATGTTGTTTATTATATGCATGAAAATTTCTCGCAATCACATTGGTCGGATCCTCCACACGTGACCAGTCTTCAAAAATTATGTAGACTGGTTATCCGGTGAATATCAATGTCTAAATATAGCCTATACCATATGGAAATTTCCCGGAACCTGTCGTAGCGCAAGCGCAGTTAGACCGGAACGCGATCTGTCAGATGACAATAGAAGATGGCTGCTGGCGATCGTTGTTCCTCCGTTACATCAGAAAATTACCAAAACTATTCGAGAATAAAGATGCTGTTAACATAAAAAGGCCATGCGCATGTCCTCCATGTTTATCTTAAGAAAAAGAACCTAGACGATGCCTTCGAAAGCTACAATGCTGAACTGTAGAATTCAAATATTTTACACGGAGGCTCGCGTACGAAAATCAGAACCTTGAGTTTTGTTTTGTTTCATTTTATTGTTGAAGTATATAATAAAACAATTATGGGCTTTTGTGCTGGTAAAAATGATGTGATATGAACCTGAAAAAGTGATATTGACCTCGGCTTTGCCTCTTTCAGGTTCATATAACATCATATTCACCAGCACAAAAGTCCATAATTGTATAGTAATGTATTAATCTGAATGTTCGTTCATTGTAAAGTGTAATTGTAGCGTTATTTTGTCATTATTTGTATCAATCCAAGTAGCCACATCAGAACGAAAATTCTAGTTTACAGGGATAATGTGTATTTTACCAAAAAGTGAAATTGAGACTTGAGGACGTATGCTACATAAATATTCTGCCACATGCACCTCCTTTTAAAAGAGTTCCACGATACACCAACCTTTATGAATAGTAATGATGATTTGGTTAATGAAATGATGACGCACGAAAAGTTACACAAAAAGCGTGTATTGATAACACTGTGATATAGAAAGTCTGAATTCCTTGAGAAATACTTATTACATGTTTAAAGGGAAATAACATAAATCACTAATTTAAGTAGTAATTAAGATAGCATACTCGTTTAAATTTAAGTTCAAATTAGGTAGCATACTCCTTTAAGTTTAAGTTAAAGCTACACAAAGAGTGTGTATTGATAGCACGGTAACAGAAAGTATTGATTCTTTGATAATCCCAATAACAGGTTTAAAGGGAAATAATTCGAACATAAATCACAATTTTAAGGTTTAAGGTAGCATGACCCTTTAATTTTAAGATTGTTTCGTGTTTCCGGAGCAGTGTCAAATTTATCACCGTGATTCCTTTATCCCTTGCTCTGACATAAAAAAACCCCACATGATGCCACTTTTATGGCAAGACATATTAAATAACACCATCAAATATGATTTTTTTAAATTATTATTTTACTCCCTTTACAATTAAAATAAATCAGTTACGTTAGCATAATATTTTCGTCTCACATTAATACA